CATGCTAATGTACTCAGGAAAGTCATCATCTCCAAGCCTCTTTTCCCTTTCCTCTAAAATCAGAGAATTGAATTACTTTATCTTTGAGGTCTCTTGCAGTTATAAATTTCCAGCCATTTTGTCAGACTGGCAAATTGTATTGGCCTCTTCTTCAGCAGTGTTTTTTTAATAGGTCCTTATTCCATATATACAGACAGATGCAAGATAAATTTTTTTTTCTGAAAAACTGGAATTTTAGTTCTTATTCTGACAGCCACCCTCCTTACTTAATCGTATTCTTTTTGATACCATTTGTAGGAACCAATGTTTGGACCTTATTTTGAGGTTATCTACCTCTAAGAAAGCAAAGAAGATATAATGCATGCAAAGAATTCCTTAAAATGGCATTTTTTTTCCCACCAGAATTGTGAGCCAAACCTTATAGTAATTACAGACAATGAATGACTCTAGAATCTGGAGGACTCTCTCGGGTGAAAGGGAGTGGAAGAAGAAAGGGGCAAGCACTGTTTCTGACAAAGTGCCTGAGTTTCATTAAAGCTTTTATATGTATGATAAAGATTTGCACTTTGTCCCACCTCAGACCTTGGTTGATGGTCTTCCTTGAAATTTTCCTTGGAATAATAACAATTGGGAATTATGATATACAAAACCCACTAGATACAAGACTGGTGAAACCAACCAAAAATCAGAGTGCTAGGAACTCCTTTGGGAAACCTACAGAGTGTATGTTGAAGGTATTTTGGTTTTCTCTTAATTTTTGTTCTTAAAAAAAAAGTGTATGTTCTGCAGACTGATTTCTTTTCTTAATGTTATGCCTTTGTTTTGTTTTCCTATTTTAAGAAAAAGTGGATGGTCTTTTTGTAATATTGTTTGTGAAAAATGAACATAAATATATGAAGAAAAATCTTGAAGTGCAAAATATAGTGGAGTGTAAATCAGTGTTTTATCATTGATTTGTGAAACAGTTAAGCCTATTGTATAATTATCTTAATGGGTATAATATTTTATGCATGAACTTTTAACCTTTGCCTTTTTGCTTATTTCCCACTGCAAAGGGGAAGGCAGGTTTTATGAAGGATTTCGGTAGCCAGTCTATTTTATAAGATGAAAATCCAGTTGGAGGTAGGAAAGTATCAATCTGTTTTGATTCATGTTTGTAAATAAAATGACTCCATTGGGGAATGTGCCTCTTTTACTTCCTTTCGTCTTATTTTCTGATTCCCATCTCTCTCTGTCTCTCCGTGTCCCAGATCCCTGGCCACAGTTGCCCCCAAATCTTCTGCCCCCCAGAGTCTTCCAGCTGCCTTTCAATCACTGAGAAGTGGCTCAGGGGCCTTCTTGATGACATTCATTTCATGTCTGGGTACAGTATGTGCTGCTCATTTTGGCAACCTGCCCTGGACTGGGTAGAATGTTGAAAAAAAAAAAAAAGCCAGGCAGGCCCTGAGACGATTTGGGGACTTTCAATACACATATTAGGAAGAGATGATCACAGTGCATATAAATTTGGATTTGAACTAGTCCAGCCAAAGAAGTATTGCTATCACTGAAGGCAAGTTTTCACATTGACCTGTCATTACAAGCAAAGCTAATAATTTCACACTTGAGTTTATTATGCTTAGCTCATTTCAATATCAGAAGAATTATTTAAACTTTTTTTCAAAGTAAATTGTATGGGTTCTAAATAGTGAAGTACTTGTGGATAAATCAGATTTTCCTGTTCAACTAGAGTTATTTTCGTCTTCTCCAACAAAACCTCTGGTGTGTGGCTATATTTTGCTGGAGGGATCCACTAATAGTTCCAACAGTTCTCCTTTGGGGCATGTAAAATGTACGCTCTGCGTTTCAGTATTGTTTCTCTTGTGATTTTCATTTATTTAACCCCTCATGTTTTTTAAATTAATAACGTTTCATATATTCCAGTGGGTCCCCTATTTAAACACCTAGGAGATATTGCTATCAGCTTCATATTCCCCGGCTCTCAGAGACTGGAAGTGTAAGTATGATTCTAGTAGGCATTCATGTAATTCCTGTCACTCAGCACCAGCACTTTGTGTCATTAGAGAGAGAGGCTGGGGCATTTTGGGTCTTGTTTGGAAGGTTCCTCCCAGATTTTCTCATCACTGGTTCCTTACTGATGTTTCAGATTGACAGCTTCGCCTTCTCAGGTAGAGTGTCTACCCAAACTCGACCCAGCCCTTCCAATCCCCACCCCTCTCTCCAGCCCCAGGCTGTCCATCTTATAGCCATCTTATTGTCATTGTTTTCTGTTTCACGTCTGCAATTCTTATTCATTATTTGATTGTATGTTTGTTTTCTGTTTTTCATTTACTTTAATGTAAGCACATAGTGGACTTTGAAAATGTGTTTTGAATAAATTAATCCTCACCAAGAACAATTGAGCTTATAAGAATTAAGGTATTATTTTCTATGTGTTTCTTCTAGAAGTAGATAAAGTTTATGTCAAATATAAAAAATTCCTTAAGAGTGAAAAATTACTGTCCTCAAAACTAAACATTTCCAAACAAAATTAAATAATTCAAAGTAATTTCAGCCCCAATTTTATCAAATTTTAAAGCAGAAAATGTTTTTGACTTAATGGATAAAGTGAAGTTTGTTTGTTTTTTTCCCTCAAACTCTTAAGCTGAATTTCATGGGACACTTGTGGAATGTGTTTTATAGATCATTGTTTTAGGGCAGTTTACAGCAGTTTATTTAACACAGCAAAAATCTCAGTATCTGTTAAGAGAAATACAGGAAGGACTTGAGTTGTGGAAAGTTTCCCCAATCATCAGTTGTATCATTAACTGTAAGCAGAGGATTTTGTTCCCGTCAATGACAAGTCACAATGGAAGGTCCCCCTGACAGGAATTACAGCTCGTTAAAAATGACTGTAAATTCTTTGCCACTCTTTCTAGTAAGCAGTGGCGTCAGAAATTTTCCCTTGCCTTGAATCGGGCTGATCCTTGATTTGCTTTTTACCAATAGAATCTGGTGGAATAATACTGGATCACTTCCAAACTTGGATCTTAGGAGAAACAAAGCTTCCCACTTTCTCACCCTCGGATGCTCCATCTTGGAGTCCAGGTACCATGCTTTTAGAATTCCAGCTCGGGAGGAAAGGCCATGTGGAGGAGAACCAAGTCACTCAGCTAATAGTCAGCAGCAACTGCCAGCCTTTTTTTCCCCACCTCCCATCGGACTTATGATGCTGGGTGCAATAGTTCATGTTTTAATACACCTGGCTCCGTACTTCATAAAGTGTGGGATAGGGGTATTCCTGGAAGTTATTCCTCTAACTGGGTGAGTCAGCAATAACTCAAGGGGAGCAGCTGCAAATCCCATAAATACATCCCACTAAATCCAAGCTAAATGCGTCCCCAGCTCAATTTTCCCTTGACTGGGTCCCCAAAAAGCCTGCAGTCACTCTAAGCCACACAACACATGGAGAATTGTGATGGAGGAGAAACTGGAGAGGGAAGAGTCACCAATAATAACCAACTGCTCTTAAAAGGTATTTTAACCTTTGTGTCTTTTAAAAAAGCAATTAGGGGGTGAGTATAGCTCAGCGGTAGAATGAATGCTTAGCATGCCCAAGGTCCTGCGTTCAATCACCAGTACCTTCATTAAAAAAAAAACTAAAAATAAAAAAGCAATTATTTTGTGCTGCTATGAATAGAGTCCCTCTAATTCCTCGAAAGGGGCCATATATATGAGGGGCCCTAAGCTCAAGTTTTATGGTAAATCTTCCCCTGCACAAGATTCAGATTCGTAGGTTCGTGCCCTCCTTCTACATGCCTCTCCTATAGCCCTACCAGGGCACCAAGTCCCCAACTAGATGCGTTACCTTCTCCCCTGCACTGACATGGCCTTATATACTGTTTCACGTGGTAGCACCACCTTCTCTTCAGTTACCCCAAGCTAGAATTAGGACTTTTCTTTATCTCCTCCAATCCTCCAACCTTCAGGCAATCACCAAGTCCAATTAATGGTACTTCCTAAATATTTATGTAGAAAATATTTACATTTTATATTAAAATTTTTTAAACTTTCTAGAAAAATATATTGAATATTTATATCCTAGCTATTCAAAATCCACTCCCTCTCTCCCATCCCTGGATACGCTACTCCAGTTGAGTCCCTCTTCAACCAGGTAAGGGACTTGCCCAAACAGTTGCAGTAACTAACTAGTTTTCTTCTCTCCAGTCTTGTATCCCTCAAATCCATCCACTTTTTAGCTGCAAAAAGGGTGACTTAAAACCCAAACCTGACCATCTATTTCCAGCTTAAAGT